AAAGAAGATGTAAATATATAATTTCTTATTAAAGGCCAAAATTTTTTACCCCATTTGTAGTGGATTGAATTATGTCCCCCCAAAACTCACTGAAGCTTGATTGTGTCTCCCAAGCTTTATGTATTAGAAACTTGGCCCCCACTGTGACTGTTAAGAGGGTGGGAAATCCTATTATGGTAATTGAAAGGTGGAGCCTTGAAGAGGTGATTAGATTGTAGGACCATGTCATAGTGAATGGATTAATAATGGTGGTCAGGGGTGTAGTTCTGAGAGCTTTAAAAGAAGAGAGAGTCTGTCTCTCTCTCTTTCTGCTCTCTCTGCTTCCACCATCTTGCAATGTGAGACCCTGGGGTCACTGTTATCACCAGCAGATGGACTTTGGACTTCACAGCCTCAGAAACTGTAAGCAATAAATTTCATTTCTTTATAAATCACCCAGTTTCAAATATTTTGTTATAAGGAACAGAAGTGGGCTAATACGCCTTTTAAAATTAGAAGAATCTAGGGGCCAGCCCATGGCTCACTTGGGAGAGTGTGGTGTTGATAATGCCAAGGCCATGGGTTTGGATCCCTGTATACAGATATCCGGTTAGCTCACTTGGGAGAGCGTGGTGCTAACAACACCAAGTCAAGGGTTAAGATCCCCTTGCCAGTCATCTTAAAAAAAATAAAGATAAAAATAAAATAAAAAATAAAATTAGAAGAATCTTTGTAAGCCCTACTATTGGGTACATAAGAGGTGGTTAATAAATCCTTGCTGAAGAAAATATCATCATCATTATTGTTGTCATGAGTAATCTTGTAGATCAACCTGATATATCTTTCACCATGGTTTCTTGGGCCACAATCTTCCTATTTGTGATAGCAGAGAGTGTGCCTCCTGATTCAGCAGAAACAATTTAATCAAGTGCACCTGAATGTGCTGCCTTTCCACTTCAGATAGATGTTTTTTCAAGGATCCTAACTGTAACTCTGACTAAAATCATCGTTTGCAAGTGAAAATGAGAAGAATTTCTCAAATCCCAGTCCTTTGTAACCATTAGTTAATCATCAGCTTAGGTGCGTTGTTTTTGCTTTTCTGTTTCTTCATTGAGAAAAGGTCAAGGTTATTGAGGTGTGTCTATTAATATTTAAGAAGAAAAGGTAGGCTGAAAAGTGATATTAGTTCTTCTAAGGGATTTCATCTTCTAAAACAAAAATAGTATTGGCTTTTACTTTTCATTATTGGAAAATTTGAAAAAGTCGTGAGAAAAGATCAGAGACAAATGTTTTAAAATAATATTTTCCCCACTAAGACACAATTTGAAGACAAGGGAAATGCTGCGAATGTCACTCTAATATGGACTTTGACCAGATAGACTGGAAATGAGGGGAGAGGAAGAAGGATCCCAGCCCCATTTATTTATTTATTAAAAATTTTATCATTATACAATGTAAACATTTTTTTTGTGGCCCTTTACCAATTTCTCCCTAAAATCTCCTAAAATCTCACTCATCCTAGTTTCAAAACGCAGCACTGTTTTCTGCTAGATGTTTCCTCACTGGCTTGCTAACACACAAATGGAAACTTCTACCATGTACAGATCTGATTGCTTGACCTGCAGGTTGGAAGCCAGGTTCCAATGACCCTGTGACGAAGCTGCCCTCAGTGGGTTCACATGAGTGTGAGGAGTTGGGGATCAGCCTGCTGCAGAGGCAGGCACTGGGGCACAGAGGGAAGTGTGGATGTCCTTATCAGCACGATTATTCTCCTGGGCCGATTTTCTCCAAGTGGATGTGGTGGTGATACTCTGGAGGGACCACCATGGGACCCACATAGCTCTGGGATTCTAGATTCATTTCTGAGTCTCAAGCACCTCAACTGTCAAGCAGGTTTAATAATACAAATTTTATCTGTACATGTCACAAAGTTCTATGTGAAACAAGTTATTTATCTTTCTCTCTCTCCCCGGAAATACAAAATATTATGACTATTATGGATATCATTGTTATTATTATTATGAATGAATCAGCTGTCTGCTGGCAGCATGTGAGACTGCTGGATTAGAAGTCTAGATTACTGGGACAAAGTGCCCCTCCCTCTTTCGAGGCAATCGCTGGGGGCAGGAAGGGGAAGCAGTGTAAAGAGCTGGCAGGACGTATGCTTGAGAAGTTTCCAGAGCACACCATGGCAATTGCCTTCCAAGTCTCTGCATTCCTCAGCTTCCTGAACAGTTTCAACAGCGCCTTTAGGGCCCTGCATGAGGTGGGGCACCTAGAAATTGTCAGCTCTTGGTGACCAGTTCTCTACTCAAACTGGAGGCAGGCTTGGGGATGGGAGGCAGGTAATGGGAGGTGAGGTTGTAGCACAGGATATAATAAAAAGTTTCCTTCTTTCAGCATAGAGGAGGCACCATTTTAGGTCCTTATAGGTCTTGCAGATGGGGAAGGCTGATGGCATGTGAAAAAGACCTTTTAATTTGTGTTTTATTTAGGAGGAGCTTCTGGTGCCCAGAGGGAATGTCATACTAGGGCCTAGGTTTATTGGGAATATGGCCACCCTTTTCAAGGAGTCAGAAGAGTGTGTTCTGCAGAAACAAGGTATTTCTCTTGGACATTGGCCTAAATAAGTTTGGGAGTTTCCAAGGCCTGGGTTTAAGTCTGAGTTCCATACTGAGAATACAACAAGAATGGATAGAACAGTCAGGTTCTTCTTTGCACGATGTGCTTATACCTGCCTGTGGGAGGAACTGAAAAATCCTTCCTCTCGTGATAAAAATGTCTTAACTATGACTGGCTTGCTTTCTGTCTTAGACCATTTAGGCTGCTATAACAAAGTAACATAAACTGGGTGGCTTATACACAACAGTCATTTATTTCTCACAGTTCTGGAAGCTGGAAAGTCCAAGACCAAGGCACTGGCAGATTCAGTGTCTGGTGAGGGCCCATTTCCTGGTTCATAGATTGAACCTTCTCGATGTGTCCTCACGGTGGAAAGGGGTGAATGAGCCTCCCTGAGCCTCTTTTATAAGGGCATTAATCCTATTCTTGAGGGATCATTCATGAGAGATTCATGATCTAATTGCCTTCAAAGGCTCCATCTCCTAATACCATTGCCTTAGGGGTGAAGGTTTCAGCATATGAATTTGGGAAGAAGGGACACAACCAACCAGACTATAGCACTCTCTAAGCCTCAAAATTCTTGTCTGGATAAGGAGGTGATGCCATGGAGCTTGGAGCCCCTGCTGTTGTGACTCCATCTCCTAATACCATTGCCTTAGGGGTGAAGGTTTCAGCATATGAGTTTGGGAAGAAGGGACACAACCAACCAGACTATAGCACTCTCTAAGCATCAAAATTCTTGTCTGGATAAGGAGGTGATGCCATGGAGCTTGGAGCCCCTGCTGTTGTGACATTCTCTTGGAGGGTGGATCACACTGACCAGCTCTCTCAGGGGGAGAGTACTTTATAGATCACCATGGTAGTTCCCAAAGCATTTCATGTGGGTGTTCTTCAATACTCAAATAAGTGAAAAGCTATAATGATGGGGTTAATACCATTTGCTGGGGATAGATGGAGGGCGATGTAAATACCCAGTGCTAAAATTTGGATTCTTCTAAAACTCTCAGATTAGGGAATATAATCTATTCCTTCTATTACCTGTATCATTACTTAATTAATTTATCCATTGTATCATTCATCAGTCAAATACCTATATATGAGGGGAAGAAAATGGTGAGCACCATATGAAATAAGAAACTCCATGGAGCTTCCAAACAAGCGACACATGCTCCCATGAAGTAAGTGGTGCATTCCCTTCATAAAATCATTAACATTGTGTAGTGGTGTTTAAACTTTAGTAAGTATAATGAGGACAACAGCATTCAGAACAGCATGTTCTCATGTAAGCAGTTAGACTCCTTTTGGGGGTGGGGTAGATGGATAGGTTTAGCTTTTACCACTAGCTCTATGTAATAGGACAGGCTTTCAAAAATGGTTCAGCATCACTTGTATTTTTCGACCTACAGTTTCTACCTCCCATCTTATCTAAGAAACCAGTAGGCAAAGAAATACTTAAGATTAACATTCTTCCACGAGACAACTATGAGAAGAAAATAGTTTCATCTACTTGCACAATGAACCACATTTCTGTTAGAGTTTGGGTTAATTCATTTTTCTCACTTGGGATAAAAAAGATGAAACGTTATCAGTGGTCTGAAAGTACTAGCAGAATGCTGAAGATTGGGTAAAACCTGATACTAAAAGCCTGAACAAACCTCTAGCCAATTTAAACTTCTTTCATGTTCCCTACCTTCCTCTTTTAGTACTCATTCAGAAGTTCTTAATGACATAAGGAAATCTCCATCTTTAGAGAAACACAGAGAACACTCTTTATAAACATTCATTTTGCAAAAGCTCATATCATTTATTCTAGGATTTTTTGATATACCCACTTCCTAGTTCTTTATAACAAGGATTTATGGCTTAAAAAACATCAAAAAGGAAAGGTTTCAGACAGTGTCCTAAAAATAGACTAAAAAAAAAAATTTCACAAAGCTATCTCTTGGTGCTTCTGAAACTTATTTTAAACATTTTGGAAAGGAGATATTTTAAAAGTCCTAGAAACCTATCATATTCCATTTTTTAAATAGTCTTTTGCTTGAAATTATAACTTTAAGTTCTGTAGTTGGCATGTATCTTTTCAGCTGCTGAATATCTGATTTAAAAGGAAATAAGTCTGCCTGGCTTAAATTGTCCAGAAATTTTAAAGAATGCTTTGTTTGAGGGGAAAAAGAGATTTTGAGAAAGCACTTATTTCTTTGATTCAAACTTCTTTCAGAATAAATATAAAAGTCATTTTTAAAAATTAAGAAACCAGAGCTATCAAGTAATTTAAAATAGCCCCCAAAGCAGAGAAAACTTAACATCTAATTCTCCAAAGAAGAGAAAGGCCTGTAACAGAAGCATTGAGAAACCTTGGAGAAGTTCCAGAAATAATTCAACAAATTAATTACCATTACCTTGTTTAGATCTGGCCATTCTTTTGGTAGAATATGACTATGGATGTCAATTTTCATCTCCGTAGGATCAGAGGAGCATGTAAGGAAAGAAGTTTTGATATCAAGAGATCTTCATGAAAACCATGGAGTTAGTTGACTTCCTCAGCCTCTTAGGGCTACCTTCAGGCACCAGTCCCAGGCCTGCGCAGCCAGTCTAGGTCCACTGGAACTGCCTTATTAAAGTTCAGAGTTCTGTTTGTCATCCTGGCTCTGGGTCAACACCCTGGTAATCAGGACTCTGGGCACAAAATTTAAAAAGCAAGAAAAAAGGACTGTACTCAATTCTATGAGGGCAGAAGTAGAGTAGGCTGCTTTGAGTTACAGCAAGTCAAAAACTAATTTTTGTTTTAAATATTTCATGTTTTATCAAGATATACATAAAAATAAAATAGTACATGGTTAAAAATCAAATAATACAGAGGGCTTTTAAAGACAAATGATAGACCCTAACTCACCTCTTTTTACCCTTGGTTTAACTCCCAAGAAGCAACCTTTTGCTTCTGCTTTTTGTTCAGTTAGTTACTTCCATTGTCTTTAAATGATATTTAACAATTGGCTTGTTCATGAACATTGAGCACGTTGAAAGAGTTGTGGGGAAAGTATCATCTTTACTCTTAAATCATAGAAAGAGTCCACTCTTCATATAGGTTTTTTCCCCTGTTGCCTTTGTCTTTCACTCATTAATTAATTAATTCATGCATGCATGCATTAACAACATTTATCAAGAACTACTACATGCAGAGGATATAAGGTTGAGTGAGAGATGAGATGATACATATGCTGTGGTAGGTAACTGTACACAAGCTGAGTGTAAGAAAAGAAGACAGTAGAAACTTCCATTGAAGCTTGTCAGGGCAGTCGAGGAGGATTCCGCTAGAGCATACAGTGAGGCTCATGGCCATGCCTGTAAAGAGAGCCTGGAACAAAGCAGATCTTTATTGCTGTGGGTTTACCCTTCACTCTTCCTGCAAAGCTTAAACTGTTCAAAGGACCCCAGGCAAAGACTTGAACCTGCTTTGGGATGCTCCCTTCAGCTCAGTTTCCGCAATACAGGGACTAAGTAGTCAAAAGGCCTTCCTACTATACACTTCAACTAGATCCTGGATAAGTTATAACAGACATACTTTTAAATGTTCCTCAGCTTGAAAAAAGATAATGGAAATCCTCAAAATCCATTTTAGAGAAAGTTCAGTGAGCTAAAACCAAATGAGGGAGCTTTAAACTAACATGGAGGCACATGCCAATACCTAGAGTACATGTGAGCAGTTTTAGAGCACTTCCTATGGACCAGGCAGTGTTCCAAGCATTTTAACCATATCAGTTCATGTAGTCCTGGTTTCTTCTTGCTGCGTATAGTAAATGCAAGAGGAAAAAGATAGATTGAAAAATTAGTAAGAAAAAAGGAACCAGGGCTTGGTGATTTAGGAAATTCTCAGCTTATTCAGACTGCAAAAAGATGCTAAAATTGGGAGATTCACTGTCAAGAGAGCATGCCCTGGAGAGAAAAGCCCAAGGGTGTGGCTGGACAACATTTTACTAGTGCCTTAACTCCTGAAAACAGACATTATTATTATTATTATTACTATTTTTAGTACTTAATACATTTAGATTTACTTATATGATTACCAGTCTATTTGTTCCCCATTCAGTCTTGCATTTCAGAATGTCTCTCTGGAGTCATTTTCCTTCTTTCTGGAGTACATCATTAGAAATTTTTTGAGTAAGAGTCTATTGGTAGCAAACCCAGTTTTTATCTGAAAATATCTTTACTTCTCCCTGAAATAAAATTGAACTCCCTTTTTTGGCCAGTGGATTTTTTTTCTAGTCTACTTTTTTATTACTTATAGTTTCTGAGGCTGGGAAGTCTAAAATCCATCTGATGGTGGTGACAGTGACCCAGGGGTCTCCCATTGCAAGATGGTGGAAGCAAAGAGATCAGAGACAGTTCCTCATGCACTGTCCTTTTAAAGCCCTCAGAACCACACCCATGACCACCATTTTTAATCCATTTATTATGGCATGGCCCTACAATCTAATTACCTCTTCAAGGCCTCACCTTTCAATTACCGTGATAGGATTTCCCATCCTCAACAGTTATAGTGAGGATTAAGCTTCAATGAGGTTGGGAGGGTGGGGGACAGGCAATCCATTCTACAGTAGGGACATTATTTACCTTGCCACAATTAGGTATGGTAAAATCTCCAGAGTAACTACTAAAAGAATACAAGTAGAGTATATAACTTCCAATCCAGTGAAGTAGAAGATGGAATAAGAAAAAAATCAATTCAAAAGAAATAAAGCAGAAAAAGAAACATAGAAAAAGTAAGCCAAATAGCACAAAATAAAAATGTCAGAAATAACAAAATCCAGCTATATGTTGTTTATAAGGAACATATTTAAACTATAAGGATATAGAAAGTTTGAAAGTAAAAAAAGTTAAGAGAAATTAAAAGAAGCAAATTCTAACCATAAGAAAACTATGATAGTTTATCTCAAACACTTCAGGGTGGTAGAAATATATATCAGATAAACGAGACTAAAAAATAAAATGCATTTTTAGGGCAACTGAGGATCACTATATAACAATAAAAAGTTAACCAAGTAAGAAACTATAATAATAATAATTCTAAATTTGCTACAACAAATTGCCTCATAAAATATATGTTTGACAAATCTTCCAACATGGAGCTGCAGAGGAGGGCCCCAATGCTGGGGAACCACTAAAGAACCTCAAAAGCATTCCACAAGAAAAAAAAAGAGAGCTTTCAAAGCTCCAGCCTGGCCCACAGAACTGTAAGCCATCTTACCACAGGGTTGGTCAAGTAACAAATTTCCTATAGCCCTAACATTTCCTCCCTCTCCCTGCTTTGACCCTGCCAGGGAGATAGATCAATCTTAGGGAGGGGAAATGCCAGTTGGGGAAAGAAAAAAGGTCATGTGCCCACCTATAGGGAGAGAAGCCTTCCCTTCTAATGATGATTAAAGTGATATTAAATATATTGTACTGGGCATTTTTATTTCCTGAACTGAGACTGGGTTTGCAATTTAAAGCAACCTTAGGAATTTTTATTACCTAAAGTAAGTAGAAATGTCTTGGGTGCTGTGCATGTTTTTGTCCAGAGGGAGGAGAAAGACTACTTCCACTAAGCAGAGTTAAACGGAAAGTGGGAGATTTATAAAGTTGCATACACAACCCTCCAGTGTATATTCAATGTATTTGTAACAGAAGAAAAGAATAATGCTTTCATTTTTGCTCATAAAGACAGGCAATCTTTTTGGCTAAATGGGCAGGGGTTAGTTAAGAGTCCTTATGAACGAACAGATAGCACTGTTTCGGTTCCCATTATAGCACCAAGGAAAGTGAAAACAAAAAGGGAAATTGTATAAAATCTCATCTCCACATTAAAAAAAATGAATTGTAAATCAGATGGGCTTTATACTAAGCAATCCTTTGTGGAAAAAGGTATAACAGATAGCACTGTTTCGGTTCCCATTATAGCACCAAGGAAAGTGAAAACAAAAAGGGAAATTGTATAAAATCTCATCTCCACATTAAAAAAAAATGAATTGTAAATCAGATGGGCTTTATACTAAGCAATCCTTTGTGGAAAAAGGTAAGAGATCCTTCAATTGTTCAGTAGTTGGATTGTATAAAAATAAAAAATGATTTAGACCAAGTCTGAGTAGCTTCTTTCTCTTGGCCCTGATCTTATGGGTGTGAATCAGCTCAAATGCCAAGGTTTGACTTTTGACTCCACTGCTTATTAACTGGATGGCCTTGAGCAAGTTACCTAGTCTCTGCATAAAATGGGGACAATAGTAGAAGAACTGATTTCACAGACTTGTAGTATGTTATTAACTTGAGTCACGCAAAACCATCGGCTATGAATTACACCATGACACATAATCCAGTTATTTCTTAGTCTACCATGTACAAAGACTGGCAAGAAGTCCGATGTCAATCAATTTAAGGGACCTCCCACCCCCTTGTGTGAATTATGTAAGAATCTGGGTTTATGTGATCCAAGACTATGGGGTGGGGAATGTCCTCTGTGGTGGTCACCATGATTGTGGTTCTCCTTGGCCAGGCCTGTGGTACACTTGAAGGCGGGCATCTCCACTGGTTGAATGGAAGCTCCTATTCCAAGATGAAATTCCTTGCCCCTACAACTGCTCCTCGTCTTAGGTTTTCTCTCTCAGTGGATGACACCCTATTTTAGCCAAACTCCTCCCTCTCTGCTTCTCTTTCTTTCTCCCCACTATCAATAAATCACCAAGTCTTTTTATTCGACCTCCATCGCATCTCCAAACCCTCCTTCCTCCTCTCTAGTCTCACTTGCAGACCCTCATCATCTTTTGCCAGGATTTTAAAAATCACCTACTAATAGTTTTTGACGGTAGTCTTGGCCCACTGTAATCCGTCCCCAAGACTCTCTTGGCCAGCGTGATCTCTCTAAAACACAAAATGATCACATTTCCTTTCCTTAACTTTTTATGGTTTCTCACTGCTAAATCTAAGCATCCACGGGAAACAAAGGTCCAGATGTACTTCTCCACTTCTCTTGTCTCTGTGTTTGTCACCATGCCCTATGCCCCAGCCACAGGGAACACTTTGTACCTCCCCAAATGTAATGTGTCCCCTCTTTTGTCTTTATGGTTTTCTTGGCTTCTACTGTCTGGAATGACCCTTCCCTGCCCTTCTTTCTGCCAAAGGTACACCTATCTATAATGCAACATTTAGTTTAAACATCACCTCCTCTGTGAAGTCTTTCTTGACTACTCCCACCCCCTAATGGTAAAAGAGAGCACACTCTCCTAGGAGAGATAGTTGGGGGAGTGAGTAGGAATGACCCTGGCAAAGCTGTAAATGATTTCTAGGTTATCTTCAAAGAAACCAGAGTCCATTTTTGCTGCCTTTTCCCTGGCCCCTAGTTTTTGGCATCTAGAGACCTTTTGATTCTTTCTCCTCCTGATCAATTCTTGCTCTTTCGAGAGGAGCTTGTTTCACTTGAGTTTGAACTTATCTACATCTGGGCACTGTTGAATTAATGAATTTTTGGGTTCATGGGGACAGGGGCCATG